TGCTTTCCTCAGCAGCTACATTGGGTGCTCTGTAACAAACACCGACAATTAGGCTATTTGAGTTTTTAGCGTCTAATTTTACCAATATAGCTTCTGTAGTTTTACTTATATCAGTAAGCTCCCTTGCCTGCAAGTTTTCCTTTACATATAGTGTGATTTCTGCATCTGTATATCTTTGGAAAGCTTTTCATTATACGAGTTCTTTGATGATCCATCCATTCATCTCTGAATTCTTGATGTCTGCCGTTTCTTTTCTCTTTTTTGCTAGATAATGTGTATTGATCCTCAGTGTCTCTGTGTCACTTCCTTTGTTAAACGATGATTTTTTTTAATGAGACAGAACAGTCTACACTAAATGTACTATGTACAGCCCTGGAAAAAAATGAGACTGCTCCACATTTAAAAAAAAAAATCTGCATTTTTGAATCCTGGTTTAATCCTGGTTCTGTTTGCAGGCTGATTCCAGGCTCAAAATTTCTAATACAGCAATACAGAAGAACAAGGTGAAACACTGGCTAATGACCAAAGTCCAGCCAGGTAGGGCTTCCCATTATGCATAGCATGTTGGGGATTCTGTGTATGTGTGTGTGAATTATGTTTATATTACATTGTGGAAACCAAATGTTCCCCACAATGTAATAAAAACCTGTTATTTTGACATTGTGGGGACCATTTTGTTTTTTTGTTTATTTTTTTTGTTTGGTTACTTATGGTTAAGATTAGGGCTGGGTAGGGGTTAAGGTCATCATGTTGTGATTAGAGTTTTCCCTGTAGAAATGAATGGAGAGTCCCCACAAAGGTATAATTACAAACCTGTATGTGTGTGCTCAAATGTATCTTAAATGATCAGTACCATAATCAATGTTTTCTGCAGCCCGTTCGATCAGTATGATGAGTTGTAATGCATTTCTCCTGCAACTTTTACTGATTTCAGGTCAGTTTCTTTCATATTCCACTTAAATTCTAAAAAGGGAACCAAAAATTTACATATTGATGAACTCTGCCAAAAGTCAGTCATATTATATGGGTCTTTCTTTGATGGTTAAAGGACCCTTGTGTTACACTTGTTATACATGCCAAAGACACATCAACTAAATTTACATTTGGATTCAGACAAATCTGATTATTTACAGTATTTATGTCTTTGATAATAATGTATATCCATCAGCCTGTCAGTTCAAAGATGGACTTGCAAAAGCCTTTCCTCATTTTGTCAGATCAGGTTTATATTTTTCTATTTGTGATCATGTGTATTTGTTTCTCTCTGCCTGTGTGACTTTTTTACAGAGTTTCACAGTCACTGTTTATGCTTTTTGCATCAGTACCATTTTGTAAACATAAACCTGACCTGGACTGATGCCCAGGCTTACTGCAGAGAGAACTACACTGACTTGGCTACCATTGACAATATGGAGGAAATGAAAAGACTAACTGAGTCTGTAGGCTCTGATTATACTGGAGAAGCTTGGATAGGACTGAAGAAAGGAACATCATGGAGATGGCAGTGGTCCTCAGGAGAAGGAGGCACTGGGTACATCAACTGGGATATAAGTCAACCAAACAACTTGTATAATAATCAGCACTGTACCGAAGTCCGAAACAATGGTAAATGGAATGATTTTTACTGTTCAACATCAAGTTATTTCATCTGTTATACTGGTGAGTAACATTAACCAGCTCTTTTTTGATAAATGGAACATGCCTTTGAAAGTGTACTATCCAGCCATGACTTACCCCATAGTAGCTTTTACAGGTAAAAAGGACTACAGCCTAAATGAGAGTCCATTCTGTTTTGGGTATTAGATTAGATTAGATGAATTATATTGATACCAGAGGGAAATTCTTGCGCATTCTTGTGTTAAAATTGGGACAGTGTGAGTCGGGACTTTGCCATCTTGCTCATTTGACTTCCTCTGCCAGCCCCTGGAGGATGGGCTCCCCCTTTGAGTCTGGTTCCTTTCAAGGTTTCTTCT